TTTCGTCCCCGCTGGACTCATCAGGCAATCTTCTTCTTGGATGTCTTCATACGGAGCTTGACTCGGGAGAATAAAGTTGAAGACACCACTGCAGCTGTACTTATGGTTGACAAAAATGGTGGTAAAGACACACCTGGCAATATGGCGGTAAACCTTCCTTCCTTCCTTCTTCTCCACTGCCATGACTGGCTAAGTGGCCCCATACGGGGCAGCTCTTGGATTAGCGCTGTCTCCGGGAAGCGGCACCAGGACCCGACGACTGACGTGACGGCGCATTCCCACGGGTTATAATTGCTATTGAACGCCGCGATGTCCTCTCCTCGCGAATATTCGAACAAACTTTCCTTGATTTTTTTGCTTTGGACGCCGTATTCAAATTTCCGTCAGTGTCGACAAGAGTCCTGACGTTCCACGTTCCCAGAGACAGAACAACCTTTCGAGCCGCTGGTGCACGCGAGTGAAAAGACTCTGGGAGAGGGTTTGCAAGACCTCTACACCCAGGCGAAAGAGGGTCAGCGCGAGTGGTCACATCCGAAGTGGCCATGTCGTCAACGCTGAATTTTCCTCCTCCGCGGCAGCAAGATGAAGACTGCCTTGTCTAACACCGCGTCACTAAGTGTTTTCTACTCACCAGGGCTGGCCCTGGCAGAAGCCAGGAGCCAGCCCGTGGCCCTAAACTCACTACGAAGAAAGAAGAGTTCGGAGCTCCAAAAACTGCTTCCTCCTCTCTCAAGAGAAAACCAAACTGTAAACACACCGCGGTAAACACACGCCTGCCCACACACGCTCTCTAGGCTGCAAAGTTCTGGCACAGAGCTCTCCTTCTCACCACCACTACCATCAGTTCGCGCCTGGCGCCTGGTCGATGCATGGCTGGCGGTATCCGGCATAGCAGGCTGGTACATCAAGTAGCGCATGGCACATAGATGATGACACAGCAACGACATAGCTCGATTGCGACGTACGTTTCGTCCCCGCTGGACTCATCAGGCAATCTTCTTCTTGGATGTCTTCATACGGAGCTTGACTCGGGAGAATAAAGTTGAAGACGCCACTGCAGCTGTACTTATGGTTGACAAAAATGGTGGTAAAGACACACCTGGCAATATGGCGGGGGTGCTATGCCGGATACCGCCAGCCATGCATCGACCAGGCGCCAGGCGCGAACTGATGGTGGTGGTGGTGAGAAGGAGAGCTCTGTGCCAGAACTTTGCAGCCTAGAGAGCGTGTGTGGGCAGGCGTGTGTTTACCGCCATATTGCCAGGTGTGTCTTTACCACCATTTTTGTCAACCATAAGTACAGCTGCAGTGGTGTCTTCAACTTTATTCTCCCGAGTCAAGCTCCGTATGAAGACATCCAAGAAGAAGATTGCCTGATGAGTCCAGCGGGGACGAAACGTACGTCGCAATCGAGCTATGTCGTTGCTGTGTCATCATCTATGTGCCATGCGCTACTTGATGTACCAGCCTGCTATGCCGGATACCGCCAGCCATGCATCGACCAGGCGCCAGGCGCGAACTGATGGTGGTGGTGGTGAGAAGGAGAGCTCTGTGCCAGAACTTTGCAGCCTAGAGAGCGTGTGTGGGCAGGCGTGTGTTTACCGCCATATTGCCAGGTGTGTCTTTACCACCATTTTTGTCAACCATAAGTACAGCTGCAGTGGTGTCTTCAACTTTATTCTCCCGGATCAATTAACGGTGAAAAATAGGGTAGATGTCTGTATTTTGAGGCAAAGAAGGGGGGGGGGCTTCTACTCCAGTGTGGCATCTACTCCAGTGTGGCTTCTACTCCGAAAATTACGATACATGTACTCTAGAAAATGACCGCCGATCGGTTTCATCGTACATGGTAGCTTGTACGTCATGTATCATGTAAGCTTCAGGAAGAATATTCAAATACATGTACTCGAATATTCGATCGGAGAAAATCAGAGTCTAGTACTCAAACTCAGGATCTCCCTGCCAACTTTCAACCCCTAATACTGATAATGACAGTAAGGGCCCATGGCATTGGAACAATGGCTAATGAAATTGATAATGAGAGTAAGGGCCCATGGCATTGGAATAATGGCTAATGAAATCAAGTGGCAGACAGTCATACCTTGCTGCAATGAAAGCTGCCGTTGCCATCCACTCCATTATCTACATGATTGCGCAACAATAGGGTAGCAGAAGAAATAACACACAACATGTATATTATGTAAAGTCCACTTAGAAATAATTGATCTCTGGCTTTTTCCAAATTCGATTTTGGCCGTAATGGGCTCAAAACCATTATTCCTGTAGCTATGCAAAAGACGTTACTTCAGTAACGTCTGGCGCTAGCCAGGGTCCACACAGCTTTAATTCCGTGTTTGTTTGTTTGTTTGTGCCATCGGCATGCCTGGCGCTAACCCGTACCATACCATCAAGGTGTGTGTTTGTTTGTTTGTGCCGTCAGCATGCCTGGCGCTATCCCGTACCTGTCACGTTCCGTACCATCAAAGACAGCTGGCTATGGCCGCAATATTCAAATAGGGCTTTCAAATGCAAGATCATAACGTGAAGCAACTTGGAAAAATGAGTATGTATGCAAAGTGTATCGGGGGGGGGGGGGGGGGGGGGATGCATGCAGGGTGATAGTGCGGGTCCGAATCCCAGGTTATGTCTTCAAAAAAAATAGGAGAAATGAAAAATTTATAACATCCCTATGCTTTTTTTGCCTAGATCATCAAGGTGGCAGACGGTGTCGTAATACCCTCGAATGACAAGAGAAAGTTTATTTCTTTCGCTCAGGGCCCTACGCTGTGCTTTTTTGCCTAGCTAATCATGCATGTTATTCGAACTGATGGAAACTTGTTGCAATGCAATGATGTAGCCGATCAGGATCAGTTCGTTTTGGTATGGCTGGGCATTGTAGCCGTCATGATCGACGTAAAGCACTATACCCAATCAATGGAAAAAACACTTCCATCAGTTCTAATAACATGCATGATGAGCTAGGCAAAAAAGCATAGCGTAGGGCCCTGAGCTTCCAAGCTCTCTCGTTCTATTTCGGCCGGAAATGGGATTTGGAGCAGCATGTCTGCACAATCAGCGATGCCAAACCCGGCGGAAAAAAACTTGCTTCACTGCACATGCTCCTAACTAAACAAAGCTGTACCATGACATGTCATTTCAGCTGGTGGTGTTGATTGAACAGCTTTTAATTGGCTACATAATTATATAATTGGCTAAGCACCGAAATTCCGGAAATCTTTTTAAATTGGAACTAAAATATGTGACCGTAGTATAGTAGGTACGTAAATAGGCAGGTAAGTAGGTAGGTAGGTAGGTAGGTAGGTAGGTAGGTAGGTAGGTAGGTAGATAGGCAGGCAGGTAGGTAGGTAGGTAGGTAGGTAGGTAGGTAGGTAGGTAAGTAGGTAGGTAGGTAGGTAGGTAGGTAGGTAGGTAGGTAGGCAGGCAGGCAGGCAGGCAGGCAGGCAGGCAGGCAGGCAGGCAGGCAGGCAGGCAGGTAGGTAGGTAGGTAGGTAGGTAGGTAGGTAGGTAGGTAGGTAGGTAGGCAGGCAGGCAGGTAGGGAGGCAGGCAGGCAGGCAGGCAGGCAGGCAGGCAGGCAGGCAGGCAGGCAGGCAGGCAGGCAGGCAGGCAGGCAGGCAGGCAGGCAGGCAGGCAGGCAGGCAGGCAGGCAGGCAGGCAGGCAGGCAGGCAGGCAGGCAGGAAGGTAGGCAGGAAGGTAGGTAGGTAGGTAGGTAGGTAGGTAGGTAGGTAGGTAGGAAGGTAGGTAGGTAGGTAGGTAGGTAGGTAGGTAGGTAGGTAGGTAGGAAGGTAGGTAGGTAGGAAGGTAGGTAGGTAGGAAGGTAGGTAGGTAGGTAGGTAGGTAGGTAGGTAGGTAGGTAGGTAGGTAGGTAGGTAGGTAGGTAGGTAGGTAGGTAGGTAGGTAGGTAGGTAGGTAGGTAGGTAGGTAGGTAGGTAGGTAGGTAGGTAGGTAGGTAGGTAGGTAGGTAGGTAGGTAGGTAGGTAGGTAGGTAGGCAGGTACAGTCCATTTCAAAACTATAGACGCGTACCTAGGCAAAAACCGTTATGCCAGCATCTATACCACATAAAATCTGTGATAACTTTGTGCATAAAATTTTCCAAATTGGGCGTCTGTTATCCAATCCTTTAGAAACTATATGAGAGTAATTGTGGAGCGATCCTGAGCAATATTCCGAAAACTATTCTCAAAAAGTTCCAGCCAAATTTGAAATATTTCAAAAACCCTACGCGTCTATAGTTTTGAAATGCACTGTAGGTAGGTAGGTAGGTAGGTAGGTAGGTAGGTAGGTAGGTAGGTAGGTAGGTAGGTAGGTAGGTAGGTAGGTAGGTAGGTAGGTAAGTAGGTAGGTAGGTAGGTAGGTAGGTAGGTAGGTAGGTAGGTAGGTAGGTAGGTAGGTAGGTAGGTACAGGGGCGTGCTCGGCCCCCCAACTAGGGGGGTGCACGGGAGCCGAGGGGAGCCCCCCCCCCGGCAATTTTAGAGCATATTTGCATACATTACAATTGCAATTACCCAGATTGAAAATTTTGGGGGGGGGGGGTGCACGTGCCCCCCGTGCCCATCGCCGAGCACGCGCCTGAGGTAGGTAAGTAGGTAGGTAGGTAGGTAGGTAGGTGGGTAGGTAGGTAGGCAGGTATGTTGCGGTAGTTCCCCCCACGCCCTTCTCCGCACGCCACACCACAACACGCTGACTCATTTGGTTGACAGAATATCTCACAGTTATAATCTACAAACTGGTGGCGGAGAGAACGGGGGAGAAAGACAAGGAAATAATAAACGACCAACAGTTATAAACAGAGAAAGGGCGAACACATTGAAACGACCAATGAGCGACCAGTACGTACGATACATGTGACCAGAACCAAGACAACAACACCGTGGACGAATCACACCACTCCCTCGCACCCGAACGTGACTCGCACAGCGCATGCTCCACATAGTCCACGCATGCGTAACAACTAGTCGACAAACACACTCACACAGG